GCTGGTGCGGGAGGCGTCCTCGCGGGGATGCCGGCCGCCGGGCCGGTGGCCGTCGCGGCGCCCGCGCCGGGCTGGTGGCCACACCGCCGGCCGAGGCCCCAGGGGAAGCCGCCCCAGTCGCCCTTGGCGCGGGAGGGCGCGGCCCCATGGGGGCTGGCCCAGGCCCAGGCGCTCACGGACTTGGGGGTGCACCCTTTGCTGGAGGAACCATCTTTTCACAGAGGCCCAGTCGCTGCTGACGGGGACGCCGTGGGCAGGTTGGCCCGTGAGGAGGCCTCGAACCCGCGTGTGGATCTGCCAGTTCATGCCCGCGGGCGGGGGCAGACCTGTCGCCCGACATCATCGCTGCAAGACCGACTGCCGCCTGTCCGACGAGGGCGGCGTAGTCGAGCACCTGAGGATCTGCACGGCCCTGGAGAACGCGATTTGGTTTGATCAGATTTACGTGACGGAGATGGCCAGCTTTGAGCTCCTGGGTAGAGCTTTGCAGGTCCTCGAGGAGAGGTATTGCGATCGCCTGGCTGGCTTTTCGGACCCTTCGCGCGTGGACACGCACCGCCACAGGGGCATTGAGCTGGCATGCGACAGCTGCGGCGCGTGTCCAACGCTCCAGGATTGGGTGAGCCAGGAGCTCGCAGAGGAGCACGCGACCCTGAAGGATAGGAGGGCGACCCGTGAGGAGCGCGCCGCCGCTGCCACCGCGAAGGCCAAGGCCAAGGCGCGAGGGAGGCAGGGCGGCGCTGATGATGGTTGACAAGGCAGCTGGCGGTGAGGACTGGGCCTCCCCCGCCAGCGATTTCAGGCCCCCGCCCGGGCTTCGCCAACCCGACGCTGCTGTTCATGGCGATGCACGGCTTCCTGGTGCTGCTGGGGCTGCCGCGGAGCGACAGCGCGACATCTTCCCGCTGCCGCCGCTGGGGCGCCGAGAGGGCGCCTTGGCTGCTAGGGGTGTCTGCGGTCGCTCGGCGCCGCGCCGGAGCCTCCAAGACCGTCGACTGGGCCAACGCGTGCATCGACTCGCTGAACTCGGCCTACGGGCATGCGAAGCACGAGCAGCCGCAGCGGCCCATGAATGCCTCTCAGCGCGCCGCGCTGGATCACATCGAGTCGGGGTTCTTGCAAGTGGGGTGCCCCCTCTGAGGACGCACCCGGAGGCGTGGGGGCCCTTGCCGAGCTCTGCGCCGCCGGCGGCCCGTATCACTCGGAGCCCTCCAGCACCCGGCCTTACGCCAGGGGAAACGTTTCCTTGCCCGTCGGCACGAGCAGGCCCGTCCCTCTTTTGGACCTGCTCGCTGAGGGCGATAAGAAATCGCTGGGCCCCTGTTGTAGCAATCTGCTTAGACCTGCAGGCGAGGCGCGCAGCCTGGTGGCTGAGGTTCGCCCCCGGGGACCCTTTACAGATCGGGTTCTCGTGGGCCGACCCTACTGTTACGCGGATGTTTTGAATGACCTTGCAGATCGGAACATGGTCTCTTTTCGCCGGACTCGGGCAGTCCCGGCCCGGGTGGGAATCTTCTTCGTCGCCAAGAGATCTGCAAAACATCTGGGCAGCTTAGGCTGACCTGTGATACCAGACAGGTGATTGTTTTTTTTTGTCCCGGGACTTTTTTTCGACGAGACTCCCCACCTCATTTGCTATCATTTGCTCTCAGTTCTTTTGAACCTGGTAAGGATGGAACGTACGTTTCTGGAGGCAATATCAACCGCTGTTTTTATCGGGTTGGGCTACCTGAGGACCTCCAGGATTTCTTCCCTTTGGCGGATATTGCTGCAGGATACCTTGGCCTCCGCACGTGCGTGGGCGCTCCCATCTCGGGCTCAGCGTTTGTGACGCCAGTCCTAACTCTTCTACCTATGGGCTGGTCTTGGACAATGCACCTAGTACAGGCGGTCCTGGTCAACAGTCTCGCCCTCTCCGGCTTCCCCCACTCCAGCATGGTCCTGGACGGGGAGCCCGGAAAGGTCCTCTCCGATGAGCGTTCGTGCGCGGTCGCTGGCTACGTGGACAACTTCTGTGCGTTCAGCCGGTCCCCGCCCACGGCCCAGCAGGGCCGGGGCGCTATTGCAAAACGTTTGTCTGGGCTGGGGCTGGTGGTCCACGAGCTGACGAACGCGTGCCAGGATGCCGAGTTCCTCGGGGTCGAGCTGGCCCACGGTCGTAGGTTATCTATTCGGCGTCGATCCATCTGGCGTCTTCGGCATGCTTTGGATGCGGTCCTCCGGCGCCGCTCTCTCAGTGGGAAACTCATGGAGATCACCCTCGGTCATCTCACGTGGGCAGGCCTGATCCGACGGGAGCGTCTGGCCTTTTTCTCAGAGGTGCATGCTTTCCAGAAGGCGGCGGGGACACAGATCGCGCGTATGTGGCCGGGCGTCGCCAGGGAGCTTACCTGGATCCGTGGGGTCCTTCCTCTGTTGGCGGCGAACCTCTCCGCCTCCTGGGGCCCGCAGGTCCTGGCCTCCGACGCCTCCGACTTCGGGTTGGGCGTCTTGTCTCGGTGGCTGGATGACACTCTCGTCGCTACGGTCGGGCGGTGCGCTGAGAAGTGGAGGTCCAAGGTTGAGGGCCACTCGCGCGCCAGGGAGTCCGCCCTCTCCATGCGCCCCGGGCTCGAGAAGGTTCCTGAGGCAACCCACTTGGACGAGGGCCTCGACGTGCTCTGCGATGACACTTCCGGGTGCATTCAGGAGTCGTGGTCCGCGGTCTTGGCTATGCATGTGTTTGGGAGGGCCAACATTCTCAGCTTGGAGGGGGGCGCTCTGCCTTTGGCGGCCAAGCATCTCGTTCGTAATCGTGACAAGTTTGGCTCCCGTTGTTTGTTGTTCGTGGATAATCTACCCGTTGCTCTGGCCATGGCCAAGGCAGGGCCAGCGCCGTGCACCTCAGACGGCAAGCTCAGTTGTCTCAGCTTATGCACTGGCACTCGTTTCGTCGTCAGATGGATCCCCATCGGAGTGGAATTCTGCGGGTTCTCTGTCGCGAGGCCGTCTCGGCTGGTTCGCCGGCGGTCACATCCCTGCGCGCCCATGCCCTGGGCCAGGCGGCGCGGCGCCCTGCCGCGTCCGCCCGCAGGCCGGCCAGCTTGGCGGGGCCGTCGCCGATGTAGGGCAGGCGCGCCGCCGCCCGCCAGGCGGCGGAGACGCAGCCGACGACGGGCAACCTGAGCGGCCTGGAGCGGCTGCCGATCTGCCCGCCGGCCGAGGTGCTGAACGCGTCGCTGCTCCGCCAGTTCGCGGCCTGCTGCCGGGGACTCTCCCTGACATGGCTGGCGACGGCGTTGCTCGACTCGGTGCTCGTGCTTTTCCTGGGCAGCCTGCAGCCGGGCAAGACAGGCGCGTGGTACAAGTCGGTGCCGCTCAGGCTCGGCCCGTGGCTCGCCCGCCCCTTCGAGGCCCTCGAGAGCACGCGCCAGCCCGACGACCTGCGGAGCGGCTCCACCCCAGGGGTCTTGGAGGCCCGCTGCCGAGCCGCGGCCGGGCCCCCCAGCCCGGGGGCGCTGTGGCCAAGCTTTGGTCGGCTTCGGCACGGCGCCGCCTCCGAGGACCGCGCCGTGCTGCGCAGGCCGCAGGCCGCAGCGCAGCGGCGCGGGCGGTGGGTGAGTCGCCGCTACAGCAGGGAGCCAGAGTTCCTGGCGATCCTCAACTTGGCGCCTCCCGAGGTGGTGCCCCTTGGCCAGTCCGCGTTGCTGGCGATCCTCAACCTGGCGCCTCCCGAGGCGGTGCCCCATCGGCCAGTCGGCAGCCGACAACCTGGAGGCGGTGCTGTTGTGCGGGATCCCCGACCCGCGCGGCCTCGGGGCGGTCGGGCCTGTCGCGCGCGCCCTGCTGCCCACGGGTGTGCCCGCGCCCCCCCGGCGCGGCGAGGGCGCCCAGGGAGCCTGCCGCAGGCGGCGCTGGCCGCCTCCGACGTCGACGTGACCAGGCACCTCCACAGGCAGTTTGCCCAGGAGGTCAGACGCTCGCGGCTCAACAGAGGCGCGCTGCGGCCCCGCTGCTTTCTCGAGCTCTTCGGGGGGAGGGGGGGGGGGGGGGCGGCGGCGGCTTGGCAGCTGCCTTTCGCAGGCGCCGCGCGGCAGCCCTGTCTCTCGACTGGTGCCACTCTGCCTGCGAGGACAACTTGAGAAGGCCTTCCTCCGTGCCGTGAAGGGTTGGATTTTCTCCCATGCAATATTTGCAGTGTTTCTTGGCACACCTTGTACCTCGTGGTCTCGTGCAGTTCGGATTGCGTTGCGCACTACCGACGAGCCGATGGGGGTTCGTGGTCTCTCGGAGGCGAACCAACAGAAGGTTGACCTCGGTAACGCCTCACTCTCCTTTTCGATTGCCATCTTCAAGTTGTGCCGCAGACACTGTATTCCAGCTGGCCTAGAGAACCCCGGCACTTCCATCTTGTGGTTGGCGCCGCCTTTGCTTCCCCGCACTCGTGCGTGCGATTGTCGGCTTCATCCTCTCGACCAGTGCGCCTTCGGAACCCCGTGGAGGAAGGCGACACCTATTGCCATATGGGGCGGGGGCCTTTGCGACCGTCTGCTCTGCCGGTGCGGGGGCTCCAGAGGCATCTGCGGGCCCCCCGCGGCCCCACGCGTGGTTCTCGCTGGCAGGGATCCAGGGGCCCCCGCTCGCAGGACGGCTCTGGCCGCTACTTATCTTAAAAAGTTTTGCAACGCTATCGCTGGCCATATTCTTTCAGTTTGTCAAGTTCTTGAGTCTTCAGAACGGTTCAGAAAACCGTGGGAATTGGCGGCCTGACGGCCATACTGTCACATGGGGCTGACGGGTACGGGGTTCGCGTCCAGGAGCTTCAGATTCTATCGCCCCTCTTGCCCGTGATCGTGCCGATTCCGCCATTGCTGCAACCTCTCTATAGAAAGTGAGCCCTGGGAGTCTCGTCTGGGTCCCGAGGGCAATTCTAATCCTGTCTGGCGTCTGGGACCCGTACTGGTGGTCCCCACATTTCAATGTATGAGCAAGAGGGAAGGGGATAGGACGCCGAACCGAAACCGTTCGGCGCAAGCGCCCCCTCACCCACCCGTGTGCAGCTTGAGCACTATAATTTTCCTTGCAGGGGCTTGCGTCCAGGAGTTTCAGATTCTATCGCCCCTCTTGTTGCTGGTGATCGTGCCGATTCCGCCATTGCTGCATCGTCTCTATAGAAAATGAGCCCTGGGAGTCTCGTCTGGGTCCCAAGGTCAATTCTAATCCTGTCTGGCGCCTGGGACCCGCACTGGTGCCATACATATATATATATATATATATATGTATATATATATATATACATATATATATACATATGTGTATATGCGTGTGTATATATGTATTTATATATATACATATATATATATATATATATATATATATCGAGAGACTGAGAGTGAGACGGCGAGAGAGAGAGATGGGGAAGGCGGCGGCGGAGGGCTAGCGAGGAGAGGAGGGAGGGGAACATGGGTCGAGGAAGCGCCTGTCTGGATGAAGGCGCGTGGATTAGCGAAGGGTCCCGGGTCCATGCAGAATCGACGCGCTCCGTGGCCAAACCAGGTGGCATTGGCCTACTGCTTCGGGTGTGCCTTCCCCGATCCGTGGACCTGGCGCCCTCGCGCCAGATCCACGGATCCGTAACCCATGCCAGCGCGCGCCCGAGCCCGGCAGCCTGCCAGGGTCATCCAGGCCTTCGCCTGGCTGATCGGCATCGGCTGCACCAGGCGGCCTGGGGGGCGGAGGCATTGGAGCTCGGGAGGAGGGGTGGCGACGATGAGGGAGGCCACCTTCTGAAGCATCGTTGCTGCGTCAGGTTCGCGCCGTGTCGACGCGGCGGCGACCCCGCCACAGGCTTTCAAGGGTGAACGCCGCCAATGGAACGATATGGCGATCAAACAGCCGCCGATCGTCCAAGGTTGAACGATCCACGCGGTGTCAGACACCAACGCTGGGGTCGCCACGACACGAATTTGCCGTATTCGTCCTCGTCCTTGTCTTCCTCTCTATTGATGCCTCTTCGTCCGTCTCTTTCTTTCTCTCTCTCTCTCTCTCTCTCTCCTCTCTTTCTCTTTCTATATATATATATGTATCTCTCTCCTCCCTGACTCGACCGTGGCTCAGGTGCCAGGCCCCTTGGAATCGCGGGGTCAGGCAAGCTTTGCAGCGGCACCTGCGTATCCTGAGTCGGTCAGGCCCCCAGCGGGCAGTCGTGACGAGTAGACGTGCCAGTTTCCAGTCCAAGCGACTGATGTAGGCCGATGAGCTAGTGCTCCAAGCTTTTGGCGGCATTGGACGTCGCGCTGGATGGTTAACCAACCTGGGCATGCAGAGCCCGCTTCCAGGCCCCAAGGCCGCCAGTCCACGCGGAGATTTGGGGACGTGCATGTATCTCATGCAAGTGACTGGTTGGAAGGCGAGGAACTAAGTATTACTAGATGCGATCGCAGCTTAGGCCAGAGCCATACAAATGCAGTGGCAAGATGGCGCCAACAGATGCTGCAGTGAAGCGGGTGCAGACCATCCCCAACCTGTTCACGAAGCGCTTGGGGGTCTGCAGGTCGTGGTTCAGGAGGTGATCTTGCATAGCTGCTGGACATGCTCGGGAGGAAATCCGCGTCCGAAGCGGTATCCACGCTACGAAACATAGTTGGCGCGCATGTGTCGTGCAAGCTAGACTATTGTGAGGCTGCGCTGAAATGGCGGTATGCAAGTGGCTCTGGTATACGGAAACAAACCAGACTAAACCCCGAACATGTTCGTTCGCCGCCATAGAGTTGACCATGCATCACCTGGAGTTGCTTGCACATGTCAAACGGGGCGCAGCCTGATGTGGGAGGTGGTGGCGAGAAGGTCGCTGGGCATAGGGAGAAGAAGAGTGTTGAAGCAGTCTGCCCCAGAGTGCCAGATTGGAAAGCCCACCCCCTTATGCAGCCAAGGAGACGGTCTCGTAACACCCGACCAAACGCGGGCTACCACAGCAGGTAATCCCGCGACAGCATTGATAGAGCAATACTGAACGTTCGCAACCCGTATGATTAGGTTGTGCATCACACTGAATGTCAGATCGATCATTTTCACAATACGCTGTATGTAGTATCCTTGGCTGTGTGACGCGACCATGTGCCTAACGGGCTTGAGAAACAAGACACCAGGACTACCGACGCGAGCTTCTTGAGCATGCTCGAAACGGCCTACTTGAAGGCGCAGTTAGTCTCTGCAAGCATGCAAAGGCGGCAGCTGCCCATGAGTGATTCAAACGTTGGCATTATAACACAACGGAGGACAACCACAAGTTATCCTGGTGAAGGGCCCACAGGTATGCAAGTGTGAGTACCGCAGGGCAGGTGGGACGAGTGAGGGGGACCGCCCTATTGGAGCAAGCAGCGTGTCCTGGCTGCGCCGACATGGGCGGGGAGCCGCATGTGGACGCACCCACTGGAGACAAAACGTGCGAGGGGTGCGCCGAGATGGAGGGGAGCCGCTGCTGTCACACCCCTTGGGGCCTCTGTCAGGTGGAGCTCCCTATGGGGCCACGAAGCGTGGGAGAGGTGCTCCGGAATGGGCGGGGGGCCGCAGGTGGACGCACAAACTAAGGCCTTTAGTATAGCTCCCCAAGGAGCCACGGGACGCGTGTGTGTGTGTGTGTGTGTGTGTGTGTGTGTGTGTGTGTGTGTGTGTGTGTGTGTGTGTGTGTGTCTGTGTCTGTGTCTGTGTCTGTGTCTGTGTCTGTGTCTGTGTCTGTGTCTGTGTCTGTGTCTGTGTCTGTGTCTGTGTCTGTGTCTGTGTCTGTGTCTGTGTCTGTGTCTGTGTCTGTGTCTGTGTCTGTGTCTGTGTCTGTGTCTGTGTCTGTGTCTGTGTGTGTGTGGTGTGTGTTTTTGGGGGGGGCTGGGAGACGCTGCGTTACCACCCCCTGGTGCTTTCGGCGGAGCTCCCAAAAGGGACAAGAAACGTGTGAGGGTTGTACGGGAAATCTTGCGAACTGCACGCGGGAACATCAGTGTAAGTCGTGCCGGGTCCTAGTCGCAATAGGCAGTCGACGGCATCTGTTCTCCTGCGCCGAAGGCGTCCTCGGCGTCTGGTGCCAGCCTGGCGTCAGCGAAGGACTTGCGCAGACCAAGCGTGCGAGCCGCTGGAGGCAAGCCGTGCCACGAGGTGCCACGCTGCGCGGTCCACACCGGCAGCTCGCGCGATTACGGCGACATCCAACTGCTCGGCGGCGCTCCAAGGGGGATGGCCAAGGAGGCCGGCCGTCTCAGAAGGGCTCAGAAGGCCTCTGGCCTCCTGAGAAGCTTTCTGAGCCTTCTCGCAAGCCACATCTGGGCTTCTCAGAAGGCCGGGAGGCTTCTGCTTCTAAGAAGGCCTGTGAAATCCACGAGGGCCCGCTGCGCGCGCCGCCGCATCGCACGAGCGTGGCGGCGCTCGCGTTTGGAGCGCGCCAGCCTGCACGCAAAACTAGAAGATGCCCGGGCACAGCCCAGAGCGTCGCGGGCACGCCCCCGTCGCGGAGCCGTTTGCGACGGAGCGTCTCGCCAAGGTGCGGGCCACTTGTCTTTCGAGCGGAGCGCGGCCACAGAAGCATGTGTCCACGGGCCCGCAACAAGGGGCAAGGCGTAGGGCCAGCCGTCGAGACGCCGAGCGGAAACCACGGAGCAGATGCGCAATATGCGCTGGCGCAGGAGCCGAAAAAGGCGGAGGAGGAGGACGGCGACGAGGCATTGGGGAGGAGTGGTGACGGGAGACCCTCCTCCTCGTCGTTCTGCCCTTCTGGTCCTCGACGCCTGCCGGAGCCCAGAATGAACGAGTGTAGCAGCCCCCGCCTTTGCCAGCCCTTGGATGCGATGGAGTCGACATCAGGTTGCACAGCGTGCGTTGGGCGGAGCAATACGCTTACGACGGTACAGTACACATGGTTGAAGAGCTCACGTCGGGTTGACCCAAAAGGGTGTCCAGCGACAAGGGGGTGGTGCAATAGATTTGTTGCAATAGATGTGTGGGGTTGCAATACAAGTGGGGCGTGCAATACATTCCGGGGCGCAAATGTATTGCTGGGTTTTCGCGCAATGCAGTGCAATACAGTTCTCTGGCGCAATACAATGGCAATACAATTGCCCAAAACTATTGCACCATCCCCTTTTAGCTGGACCCCCTTTTGGGTCAACCAGATCACGCCCCCCCCCCCCCAAAAAAAAAAATACGCCCGCCGATAAGACCGTATCGCTAGGAGCCAGGATGTGCATCCGCCCGCTGACAATCGCACAGGGAACCTCCTTGAGAGTTCCGCATGGCGACAGATAGTTACAGCAGGGATCTCTCAGAGTGGGACTGCCCTGTCGTGAACTGGCTGGTGATAGCTACGCCTTTAAGTGTCGGATCTGGGGATCAGAACCAGGCGCTACGCCTCTGAACCCTGCCACGCTGACGACGCGTCCCCCCACTTGAATGATGTCGCCCGGGGCAAACAAACCAGTGATTGGGCGCCAGGTATTCGAAGTATGCCAAAGGTGCGAAATCAACGCAACGAAGAAGCACGAGTGTGAGACAGAGGAAACATGTAATAATGGACATCGTTTGGAAACTATGAATCCACTTTGCCGTGTTTACAAACTGCTTTACATATGTTTCTGACTTTGTCAAACTTCAAATCCAGGCGGACCTTATTGTACATCTTTTTCGGTGTCTTTCAAACTTTCAAGTCCGGGCGGACCTTGTTCCAATGTTTCAAACATTTAAAAAATTCAAATTTCGGGCACATTGCCTCAAACTTTTTTCAAACGTGTTGAATCTTCCAAAGTTGGGCGAACTTTTGGCAAGCTTTATCGAACTGCTAAGAAGAGTTGAAATCCATGCGAACTCGTCAAATTGCTTTCAAACGGTTCAAGACTTCCAAGTGTATGCGAACTTCATCAGTGTTTTCAGGATGTTTCGAACTCTTGTGGAACTGTTTCTAAGCTTCCAGATCCGGGCGAACTGTGTTCGAACTGTCTCTGACTTTTCCAGATGTTTCAAACGTCCAGATCTGGGCAAACGTTTTCCAAACTTCCGAATCTGGGCAAACTCACACTCATACTTCGCCCTCTAGTCGATGTCACACCTTCTTATGCTTATTCCAAACTTTGAGCACAACCAGGATTTCAACTGCTGGCCTGCTCCGGTGCGACATCAATCTGGAACTCGAATGCCCAGGGATTCAGTTTTCATGTCAGAGCAAGTCAGCCCAGTGCGATCTTGTCGAATTCGGAAGTTGATAGTTCTGGGACTCGTCCTCCTCCTCCTGCTCCTGTTACATATACAGGCTGGAAAGTACCACAGCCATGTTTTCGCGTGCGCGGGAAAATATTAGCCTGGCGAAGGACCCAACCATATGCAGTTGTGAGTGACGCAGTTGTGAATATCAGCTTCGGTGGAGCTCCCTATGGGGCCACGAAGCGTGTGAGGTGTGTGCCGAAATCGGGCGGCGGCGCCATGCGGACCCTGCCACTGGGGCCTTCGGTGGAGCCCCCTATGGGGCCATGAACCGTGTGAGGGTGTGAGGTGTGTGCCGAAATGGGGCGGCGGCGCCATGCAGACCCTGCCACTGGGGCCTTCTGTGGGGCTCCCATGGGGCCACGAACCGTGTGAGGGGTCTACCGAAATGGGGCGGCGGCGCCATGCGGACCCTGCCACTGGGTCCTTCGGTGGGGCTCCCTATGGGGCCACGAACCGTGTGAGGGGTGTGCCGAAATGGGGCGGCGGCGCCATGCGGACCCTGCCACTGGGGCCTTCGGTGGGGCTCCCTATGGGGCCACGAACCGTGTGTGGGGTGTGCCGACATGGACAGGCGGAGAACAAAGGCAGGGATGGGGGGAGGAGGAGGAGAGGAGAGGAGACGCGGGGCGCTGTCTCTTCAAAACGAGGACCCAACACCACAGGATGGTTGGGAATTATACCTCAAGGTTCGTTCCATTGTAAGATGTACCACCGCTATCAGCATGCGTGCGTGCGTTATTACTGTGCCCCTTCCATTGTGCACCAGATCTCTTGCCGACCTCGGTTCGAGCGCGACCATGCCGTTGCTTCGGGTGTGAGAGAGCGCCAGGAGGGACAAGTCGAGAACCAGCATGGCTTGTAAAATCCAACGTGGCGTTCTTAGAACGTTGAATTTCCAGCGTTCTCGTGGGCTCTCTCTCTCTCTCTTTCTCTCTATCTCTTTTGTTTGTTTTTGTTGTTGTTGTTTTTGTTCCCTCTCTCTCTCTCTCTCCTCCGGGGATACGTAAGACTCGAGTTCGCCAGAACCCAGGTTTGCAGACGTGTTTCGAGGGGCCCTTCCTGAATATTGATAGTCCAGTGTTCGCGGGATGTTTGCAGCGGGAGTTCGCGTCAAATTTCAGACTGGCTCTCGTACTTCTCTTGACGGCCCCGTCGGACCAACCTGAGTCCCCTGAATCCGAGTCTCACGTCTCCCCGATCTCTCTCTCTGCAGACAGCTTCTCTCTCTCTCTCTCTCCGACTCCTCCGGCCCCACCTCCTCCCTCTCCCCCTGCGCAACTTGCCGCCCGCGACGTTGCACAGACCTCGCGCTTGCCTCGGACCGCGCCCATCCTGGAGAGTCGGCACGTGAGGCCCAGGGGGGAGGATGGCATAGGCGAGACGCGCGCTCCTCAGACCCCCTCGCGTCGTGAGCAAGAGCAGGACGGGAGTTCCGGGGGCCCTCGCCGGACCCCAGGACTGTCAAATGAATCAAACGGTAGGACCCCGCATGAGAGTCATTTAGTGCGGTAGGTTCATGCGGCGATGGTGCGCCGGCGACGCCGGCGAGGGCGTTCAAGGTTGAATTCCGCATGAACAACGCAGAAACACCGAGTGACATGGTAGTGCCACATGACCCGACGGAATTCAACTTTGAATGATCGGGGCCGCGATCAGTTCATGGTTGAAAGATCGACGCGGTGTCAAAAACCTGCGCGCGCCGACGCCGCACGAACCTACCGTGCACATGTGCGTGACCATCGACGGCTAATGACGGAGATAATGATAATATGCCACGATGCAAGGACGCCAGGATGCCAGGGTGCCAGGATGCCAGGGTGCCAAAATGCCACGCTGCCAGGCATGCCAGGATGTCAGAGTGGCAGGATGCCAGGCGGCCAGGAAGCCGGGATGCCTGGATACCAGCATTGCAAGATCCCAGGATGCCAGGCGGCCAGGATCCCAGGATGGTTATGCAATTTGTGCGGCCTGTGGGATATGCGGCAACTATGGGACATGTGGAACATGTGGGACCATTACGACTTGTGGGACTTGTGAGGCTTGTGGGGCCTGTGCGACCTGTGGGAGCTGTGGGGGAACTGCCACCTGTGGGGCGTATGGGTATTGTGAGTCATGCGGGAATTGTGCGACCTGCGCTATTTGTGGGACCTTTGAGGCCTGTGGGACCTGTGCGACTTGTGGGTGGGAAGTGTGCGACTTGCGGGGCATGTGGGACTTGTGAGACTCTGTCATAACTGTGGGGCCTGCGCCTGGATGCCAGGGGTGCCACGGTGCCAGGGTGCCAGGGACACCAATGATGTCAGGATGCTAGGGATGCCAGGATGCGAACGCAAAATCAATCCCAGGAGTTGCGTTCTTCACCGAGAAGCAAAACCACCACCAGCCAGGGGGGCGACCCCACCCCCTGAGCTAGTGGCACCCCGTCCTGGGCGCGCCCCCAGAGAGTGCCTGGAGCAGAGTGCCACCAGCTCGGGGCGGGGGGTCTCTGGAAACGGAGTTCCATGGAGTTTTGGCGTGGCGGTTCTTTTTGCTCTCATGAGTTCCTGGAGCACGAACAGCCCGAAATGGCTTTGAGCTGGTTCCAGATATTCAAGAGACTGCTTTTATTGGGGTCCGGCGATAACCCAGGTTATCGGGCTCGCCCCCCCTTCCCCCCCCCCCACGATAACCTAACCTAGCCGGGCATATGCCAGGGCTGCCCACAGCGCGAAGGTTAGGTTATCAGCCGGCCCCTTGCCCCCCTAGGATACACTGGGTCATCGCCGATTAAAAATAAAATGTCTCCAAGACCAGACCCAGGAATGGAGTTTTGGGCGAGCCCGAAGTGGCTTGCAGTTGGCTCGAGACATTTAAAAGTCAGGCCTGGATGTGTAGCTCTGGGAGCTCGACGAGCATGAAGTGGCTTATAGCTGGGTCTGGGCACTCGAAATCAGTGCTGGGAGTGGGGTTCTCGCGATTTGGTGATCACACGCCCTGTCTGTCTTACAGGGTTTGCCGATGAATTGAGGAGGGCCATGGGGAGGAGGCTCCATGGAGTTCTGGCGACTCGACGATCATAAGTCCAATGTTCTTGATCTGCCGATGGCCGCCTCGGATTTGTAACAAGTGGGGGCCGCATAAAGAGGAGGCTCCCGCTTAAGAATTCCTCCGAATTCAGTCGGCGTTCTGGCGACGCAGTGCCAACCTTTTTTTACAGTTTGTGCCGATGACCGCATCGGATCAGTAACATGAAGCGGGGGTGCCATCGGAAAGGGACTCCCGCTTAAGAATTCCTCCAAATGCAGTCTGTCAGAGATGGGAATGGTGTTCTTGCGTCGCGATGATCACAGCACGTGTTTTATGACAGGACTTGCCGATGATCGTTTCGGATTAGTAAGATGAGCTGGGGGACCTATGGAGAGGGGGTTCTGGCCAGAGATGGTGATGGTGATAGTGATGAGTGTGAAAGGAGAAGAGGTGGCGAGGACATGGGAGGAGGAGGACTGCGAAGGAGCGCGCGTTCGCCGGCCTCCTGCCGCGAGCACGGCGCCCGCGCCCCCGGCGCCCGCGCCCCCTGCGCCCACGCCCCTGGCGCCCCCCGCTCCCCCGGTGCCGCCCGCAGTTTCTGCTTGGGCTGGGGCCTGCAGTGGCCGCCCCAGACCATCTTCGAGGAGGCGCGCGCCCTTCGCCCCGTGTCTGAAAGTCTTTATGTTCATTTCCAGTGCGTCTCGGACTTTCTTGGAAGGGGCGCCGCCAGGCCGAGGCGCACTGAATCTACATATGCATATGCAGTTAACGGCGCACCTGGGCCCGGGCCCTGGGGGCCGCGACCTCTACCGCAAATGTGTGTGTGTGTGTTCGTGTGTGTGTGTGTGTGTGTTCGTGTGTGTGTGTGTGTGTGTTCGTGTGTGTGTGTGTGTGTGTGTGTGTGTGTTCGTGTGTGTGTGTGCGTGTGCGTGTGCGTGTGCGTGTGCGCGTGCGCGTGCGTGTGCGCGTGCGTGTGCGTGTGCGTGTGCGTGTGCGTGTGCGTGTGCGTGTGCGTGTGCGTGTGGGTGTGGGTGTGGGTGTGGTGTGGGTGTGGGTGTAAGCCCGAAACTCCACGCTGCGGTGGACGTGGACACGTCTTGCCCGCAGTGTCCCCGCTCGGGCCTCTCCTGCCCCCGCTGGCATCATGGTTCGAAGGAAGTTCGAAGTTCTGGGGTCTGGTGCGTTATTCGTCAATGTGGCGCCTCCGGCTGCGTCTTCTTGGAGCTACACGTTCGAAGGAATGCATAGGTTTGGGTGGTCGTTCTTTAGTGGCCGTTCTTGAGCAGCCTCTTGGTGCGTTCTCGTCGCCACGGCTGGCTCCGGGTTGAAATTTTGGCCAGACTGCGCCCCAAGTGGGACCTGGGGGTCTGCCGCAGGTTTGCACCGCTTCGGCGTGGCGGCGACGCGGCGCGGGCGTTCAATATCGCACATCCTTTTGAGTGTCCTTCCCTGCAGTGGGACCCACGGTGCGGAATCCATACAAAAGGCGAAAGGTAGGGTCGTGAGCTTTTTGGAAGACTCCAAGGAAGAAGCTCGTGCACAAGGGAACGGTTCATGCGGGGCCGCAATCCAGGGCCCACAACGCAGGATTCTGCCATTATTGTCGTCCTTCGCCTTTCTCTTGGCCGTCGTTCGCAACCCCATGTCCTGGAAGGAACAGCGTTTGAGAATGGACGACAGCAGCTCACAAGCGGCAAAACGCATCCATACCCACGCCTTCGCAGCCTGGATTCGGGAGCGCGATTCCATGGATGCGCGGTCGCACGAACACGTTTCGAGCGGGGCATCCGCAACAAAAACGCTCCGTATCCACGGGATCGCGGCCCAGGGGCCTGGCCCGCGAGGCTATGGATACGGATATGCTTTCCGCCCGCGAGCAACATCAGGATCATATGAGGCCCCATTGCGAGACCACGAGCGGGTCGGTCCCGCGTCCTTCTTTCCTCGTAGTTGGCATCGCGGCAGCATGATCGCGTGGTGGGGAGGACTGGGGGCCCTTGGAGACCGATGGCGCAGGCGGAGGAAGGGGATGACGACGAGGAATTGAAAGAGGAGCAGCATAGGAATTGGACGAGAAGGATGAAGGACGTGGACATTGAGGGAGAGGCGGGGGAGGATTTGAAGCAGGAGACGAGGAAGATAGGGAGAAGGAGCAAGAGAAGGAGTAGCGATGGCGTGGTAGGAGCTCGCCTGCCTCTGGTACCTTGGCGACTGACGCCCCAGCCCGCAGTGTGAAGCACGAGGTGGGAATCCTTAAAGCACGGTGGATGTGCGAAAAGTCTGCACAGCAAGGCATCGGCTGCAGTGATGCTTGCGTGCAAGCTTGCAGGGGGGGGGGGAACGGAGATGGAAAAAGAGAGAGATAGAGAGAGAGAGAGAAATAGAGAAGGATAGGCATTACATACAACGGAGAAATATGTGGAGGAGGGAGGAGGAGGACGACGAGGAGCACCACCAGGAGGAGCAAGAGGAGCAGAAAGAGGATGATGATGATACTGCTGCTGATGATGATGTGATGATGATGATGATGATGATGATGATGATGATGATGATGACGAGGATGATGAGGGTGGTGATGATGCTGCGGCTGGTGATGATGGTGATGAGGAGGAGGAGGAATATGTGGATGTGGATGTGGATGAGGATGATGATGATGATGCTGATGATGAAGATGATGCTGATGATGCTGATGATGATGGTGGTGGTGCTACTGATGATGATGATGGTGGTGCTGATGCTGTTGCTGCTGATGATGATGCTGATGATGATGATGATGATGACGCTGATGATGATGATGATGATGATGATGATGATGATGATGATGATGATGATGTTGATGGTGTGCTGGGCCCTGGCCTGTAACGCCCCCCCCCGCCTGCAAACACGACTATTCGGTTTCGCAGGCCCGTGCTCGGACGCCTCGGGCGCCTCGGGCTGCAGCTTTTTGTTCGCCTTCAGTCTTCACCTCATTCCCTCTGTTCATTTCCGTTCCCTCAGTTTTTTTCTGGGGTATGTGGTTTCGGAAGGTGACGTATCAGTGGATTGGAAATCGTTTGCCACTATGTTACTTAGCTTTGGATTTCCGTATAGGCGCGCGCCACCCAAACAGCATACAAGTTGAGACATAAGTCATAGGTTCTTGATGGAGGTACCCACGTTTGCCATAAAACGATTACGACGGTGCTTACCAATATGCTATCTCCGAACCGAGGTGCTTATCACTATGATAAGATTTTGATCGATGCATCTGGCACTGGCATCTGGTATTCCTGACTGTGCTAACCAGTACAACGTGATCGTGGTGAAGGCGTGAACCGCTCCAATGGCATCCAGTGCGAGGTGCTTTGCCACTCTACTACCGTCTCGCTAAAGGTGCTCTCCACATGGCTATGATCATACCAACAGGAATTGCCACCTCAAGAGGGCACTCGTGGGGGTGCTTGTCCTTACCCTAGATATGGCCCGAGGTACTTGCCTCCCATATGGGATTAGATTAGGGGTGCGCTCCACTTCTGGTGATATTGCTGAGGTGTTTACCGTTGTGGGTTTCTATTAGAGACATGCGTGTCACTCTAGGCAGATCCGGTTAGAGGTGCTGACCACTGTGTAGCAGGATGCGACCAGAGGTGCCTGCCACTGTTCGAGTCCTTGCACACACGGTGACCAAACTAGCAGGATCCTCGTAGAGGTCTTGAACACTTTACCAGGATTGTACTGGAGGTGCCCACGGCCGTATCAAGATCCCCATAGCGATGCATTACATTGTAATCAGATCTCGCTACACGTGCTTACGTACCATGTTCACGCGATTTTGCTGATTACGCTTGGCATTTAAGTAGCATCCCAGCAGAGGCGCGTACCATTCTGGCAGAATCTTGCTGCATATGATTTCGCAGTTGCCATGGGATCCTGTTGGACATGGCTACCACCTTACGTAGGTCCGACTCGACGCGGTTCATTTCCTAATCGGCTCACGGTTCCAGTGATTGCTACTCTATGGGGGCTTGACTAGCAATACTAAACACCTTTTGGAAATCTTGCCAAATGTATATGCCCGTCCCACGGGATCAAACTAGGGGCGCGTGTCTTTTCTAACTTAGTTGTAGTGGTGAAGCTTGCCACCCGAATTGGATCCTCCTCGGGATGTGCGCCACTCTGGCAAGATGCACGTGGAGGTGCGCAATAATGTCATTCGACTACTAAAGAATCAGATCGTACCGGATGCGAGCTGCGGTTAACACCGCGCTTCCAGTAGCACGATGTTCGCGAGGGATCGAGAGATATGGTAAGGAAGCACAGGCCATCATCACCGCCACTGGACAAGCGTTGGTATTGCTCGTGTCCGATCGGCCTCTTCCGCCCCCCCCCCTCTCTTATGCCACCGCCAGCGATTCGTTGGAACCGTTCATCCCAATACCAGTTTTAGCACGGAGCCAGATCGGCCGACGCCCGACCTGCCTCACGGCCGAGGCCCCGGCGCCAGAAGAAGACATACTATTTTTTATCAGGGCAGTGCACATCACCATTTCCGTCCGTGTCAAGACGCAGGTTTGCGTGTCTTGTTCATGACCATTGCGAAGTCAAGGCCAGTCGGTCGATCAGGTCATCGGAAGAATGGAGAACTGAACGTGTCGTAGGCTTTACGATAGAATGGGAAAGCGTTTTCCCTCTGGCTCGCGTCCTCATCTCTGGGAGAGGTATAACTACACATAACCAGGGAGATGGCACAGAAAAGGAAGACATATAGAAAGAGGGTGCGAATTACACTTGCGCGCGGCAGGTGGGCTGGTGCTGGACGCGGCAGGTGAAGAGCAAGTCGATTTTCGGCGACCTCGACATCCTTTTTTGCACCCAAACATCCTGTACTCCTCCCTCATCCTCCCGCTCATCAAGTATCAGAACCCCTTTCCCTCCCTTCCTCCATCCCCCGCTCACATCATTGTGCTTCTCCTATGCATCCTGCTGTTGCTGCTAGTTTTCTTGTGGTGCCGCCGTGTCCTGCTTCCTCTTCCACATGATTCCATGCGGTCTTTCCGTATTCGTTCGTACGTTGTTTGATTGTTTTGTTTTGGAATTCAGTGTTGTTGTTTTTTCACGTGCGACAGTCGTTTATCCAGGCGGATCAGCATGAGAAGGGGGGAGTATGTTAACACATAATTCAGGAATATATGTTTGCATCGAGTGATACGAACAGCGATTGGCAGCACAACGAGACGAAGAAGAGACAAGGCGTGCGTGACCCATGTCTTTCAGTTGCACCCAGGCGACTGGGATGCCCGCTGCGTGCGCTGCTACACCCAGGGCTGCATCGACACATGGCAGCCCGGAGAGACATAAGAGATGATGAATCAGCGATGCGGGTAATTACCCCTTTGTCCCCGCCCGCTTGCCCAGTCCTCCTACCCTTCCATGGGAATGGGGCGGGACGAGATTTTCGGGATGGTCGCAGGGTTGTGCGTCTTTGTAATTGCCCCCCGACCTTTGATCATTATGACGACGATGCTGAGGAGGAGGAGGGCTTTTCTGCAAGCAATCATGAACATCGAGATGTGACATTGGACATGCAACGGCAATGCAAGCGTCACGGGTTCTGTTTGTGAGGTAGTTGAAACAATGGTGCAGCATTGGATGGCCGATGGTTTTCAAGAGTGCAGTGCCAGCTTACGTCAGTATCATGATCGCAGGGTCTACTCCTTCTTCGTCTTCTTCAGACGAGGAGGAGGAGGCGCAGGAGGAGGAGCAGGAGGAGGCCTCGAGGGACCTCGCCTCCAGAGACCTCCAGCGGGCGGGAAAGAGTAGGGGGAAGGCGAGGGCGAAGGGGGGGGAACGAGGAGAACAATTGCCGAGAGGAGTTGGGGCAGGAGGCAAGAGGTGGCTGTGGCGACGCACCGCCTGGAACGGACAACGAGCGAGCAGCGAGAGGGGGGGAGGAGGAGGAGGAGGAGGCAGAGGAGGAGGAGGAAGAGGAGGAGGAGGAGGAGGAGGAGGAGGAGGGGGAGGGGGATGAGGAGGAGAAGGAGGAGGAGGAGAAGAGGAGGAGGAGAAGAGGAGGAGAAGAGGAGGAGAAGAGGAGGAGAAGAGGAGGTAGGAGGAGGGGGGTAGAACAGACATGAGGAGGAAAAGGAGAGGGTCAGAGAAGAGAAAGGTCAGCGGGGGGAGGAGGAGTTGGAAGGGGAGAAGCAGGAGGGGGGGGAGTCGGGGGGTAGAAGGGGCATGGGGGAGGAGGGAGGGAGGAGGACCTGGGGACCTCCAAAGGCGTCCAGGAACTTCCGGAGAGCTGCAGAGAATTCCACCCCGTCCCTTCCATCCACCCTTTTCCCAACCATCCTGTGGTGTTGGGCCTTCGCTTTGAAGAAAAAGCCCCCAGCGTTCCTTCATTCCTCCTCCTCCTCCTCCTCCTCCTGTGAGAATCCCTTGTGAGAGTCCCTTGCTCGCACCGCAGCCGGCTTGAGCCTCGAGCCCAGGAAAACATACTCCATATCGAAATCATCCGCTTATCCTTTCATGGTAGCGGAGCCGTGGTGAACAATACACGGACCTAGATAACATCCCCATCCCAAGTAGGGCTCTGGGAAGACTCGTTGTAGAGTAGCATCCCCAACCAAAGTAGGGCTCTGGGAAGACACGTAGTGTAGAAATAATGGCAGCAGTGATTGACACGAAACTGTTAGGACGAGGTCTAAAAGATTTCTCCGGAGATGAAAGTGAATGGAGCGATTGGTGTTATCGTTTCGAATCTTATTGTGGAGCTGTGAGCCAAGTAATGTTGCAGAACATGGAACGAGTACGAGAACATTCGAATCCCATCACACTAGCAGCCACAGAAGACGATGTGAAGCAACATTCAGCAAATTTTGCGTATATTCTAAAGAGTGTTGTGTACGGAGAAATGCCGAAAGTATTTAGGAAAATAGAGAAAGGGAACGGTCTTGAGATGTGGCGTAGGATGTGCATAAGGTATGAGCACAAAGACAACAACACGAAAAGAGGGGTTCTAAACGCAATCGTGGACTTCAGTTTCTCGGGCTCTTCCCTCCCAGAGGTTCTTGAGCGCCTGGAAGAGATGGAGTTGCCAATAAAAGAGTACGACGATTTGGCAAGCCCTGACGAGCTAGCAGATGATGGAATTGTCAGCGTGGTTATGAAAACGATCCCGGAACCCATGAAGACACATTTCGATTTAAATACACATCTGTGCGAAACATATGAAGACCTCAAACGAGAGATCCACAAATACGTTGGGATCAAACGTGAATGGAAAAAACCCGTACGCCAGAAAAGACAACGGACCGAAACCTATGGAAGTTGATGCGTTAAAGGGTTCCCCGAAAGGTACCCCGAAAGGTTTTCCGAAAGGATCCCCAATGGGTGACAATAGGGGCTCTCCGAAAGGATCCCCCAAAGGCACCCCCAAGGGCACTCCGAAGGGATATTCCCAAGGAGCGGGGTCTGGCCGTGGATACCCATCATCCTCTTGGCGAGGACAGGGTTCCTCCACTCAGGCCCAGGGCTGGTACCAGAACGACCGGAAAGGTAAAGGCAGGGATCAAACGAACATTGGAGGCAAAGGTAGGGACCAGTCGAGCAGTGGAGGCAAAAATGGCCGGAGTCAGAACGCAAACAAGTGGTGTGACATTTGCAGGATGAGGAACCATTGGACGTCAGAGTGCAGATTCAACAACAAAGGTAAAAATCGATCAGGGAAAGGAAGCCATTCCTACGAACAGGCCTGGGACCAGGACTCTTGGGGTCCCGGGTGGTCTTGGGACGAGCAGGGCGATTGGAACCAGGATGGAGAAGAGCAGCCAGAACAACACGACGAATACTCCCCAGAGGAGTTCGCGGCTCTGCTTCCTGGGAGCAGCTCTCCGGACGAAGGCGACAGCGAGTCGACCGAGTCGAACGAGTGTTTCCCATGTGAGTCAGCTGCGCCAGCCGAGAGCGATCCGGGAGCAGAATCACAGGATGACAACGCACTTGCTTTCGAGTATGGTTTTGCGGATTCGTCGAGCGACGCTGGCAGCGAGAGCAGCGCACCCAGTGAGCACGCGTTCTGTGTGGATGTGGGCTCTCAGACAGATCCCACTGGACTTCTTGCGGAGACAGGCTCTCAAACGGAACTTGTGGCAGACCAGTGCGAAGATTTCCACGACTGTCCAGAATGGTTTGTGATGGCGGATTCGGGTGACGAGGGCGATGATCCCATTAGCACTCATCGCAAAATCGCCGAGAGCTTTCCAGGGACGACGCTATACATGATGACAATGTTTGTGATGATGTGTATGGTGTCGTTTTGTGCAAGCATGTGGTCTGAAATTTGCGACGTGTGGTCACATGCATGCACAAGCTTGTCAAAGGTGCGTTGGCCCATCGTCGGGCTGATCATCGCACGAGCGATTTTGATGTGCATCGCGGTGGACTCTGGGAAAAGTGAACACTACATAAACTCGTTTTTGGACGAAGTCCCGCAGGGACAGAACAGCGTCGCGTCCACCAGCACATACACACGGAGAGACTTCCAGATCCTCTTGGATTCTGGAACCTTCGATCATGTGTGCAATGAGTCTTTCGCGAAACACATCCCTGTGGTAAAGTCTGCTGGCAAAGGAGGTGTGACCGCCTCGGGAGATCCGATGGCACGGATTGGACACAAAGACGTACCTATACAATTGATCGGCCACAACGGCGCGACGGTAGTGTTTGTAATCCGTTTCAGTGTCTTCAAAGAAGCAAGTACCACACTCATCAGCATCAGCAGGCTAACGAAACAGAAAAACATCACTTGCATGCTTGATGGCAGCACTTGTGTGATGAAAGGGCCACATATCCCAAAACCGTTGTCTGTGAAAGAACACAATTTCCTGTATCGGGTAACGTGTAAGTTTGTAGACCCGGTAAAGATCATGCCAATCATCCAGCGCCAGTCGTTGCACTCAGCTGTCCTCCGGCCTCTCGACGAGCCGCCGGAATAATTGAGAATGAACATTCCCGCAAAGATGAACAAGGAAATTTGGAGCACCACCTCTGAGGGCGAACCTTATGTGGTGACACCCAAAGCAGAGAAACACAGAGTTCCCGTCGGACAGTTGCCAAAGAAGCTCACATACGATAAAATCGCAACACACTTCCCTCTGCGCATCACGTGGGTAAAATGGCCAAGGAACGAATGGGTGCTCTTGGAAAACAGGGTAGACTGGACAAAACTCGAAATGCCAGAAGATTCCATTATGCCAGGCAGGACAATCACATTGTTCGTTCAACGTGAGGGGGACAACGATCCCCAAAACAGATCTGAACCGAGCGACGTTCCAATGAGCCTCTCAGGAGAAGCTCATCCACAAAATAACGGGTCCACCGGCGCGCAGAACACAAATGACAGTCGTAGTGCAGGTTCCTCTGGAAACAACGAACTTTCAGCACACGTGCAAACGTTACCTGAAGGAAAACATGTCATCGATGGAGTGACGTATGTCGTGTCAACTTGTCTGAAAGAGTTCGTATTTCCAGTAAATGCGCAGTGTCCTGTAAGGTCAACGTGGATGCAAATGCTCAAAGGGAGTGTTTGGAAACTTGTAGAAGACAGAGTGAACGTCCATCAACTGAGGGACAAAACACAAAGCTTTGAGAATGCACCGTGGATACTACACGAAACGTTCAAGATGATAACTGCGCTTCGAAAACCATTTTCTCAGTCGCCCCCTGTTCCTGTGCAGGAGCAGCCAGAGGAAGGACACTGACCGCTGGCTCCCAGAATTCCCACTGGACCAACACTTAAATAACGATTGGAACACAATCTTACGCACATGCCTTTTAGGGCTTGGTGTGAGTTCTGCGTGCACGGGCGCGCAAAGCAGTCTCCACACAAACACCCAGAAGAGTCCATTATCCCCACTGTACAAGTATATTATTTCTTCTTGAAAACGGCGCACGACGCAGCAGTGATCACATGTGTATCAGTAATTGATGTCGTAAACGGTTATGGTGCGTGCACACAAATCAAGGCCAAAGGGTCCTCTGACACGCATGCCGTGGGATATACTGTCTAACATTTGGAGCGCGCAGGTCTGAACGGAGAAATTACTTTGCAGACTGATTCCGAAACGTCTGTGAAGGACTTGGCCCGCGCGGTCGCTACCAAGAGGCAGGTCAACGGAAGTTCTCCGAAAACTCGTTTGAGACAAACGCCAGTTGCATCCAAACAGTCGAACGGTACAGTTGAGCGTCTTCACCAATCGATTGAGGGTCTCGTCCGGACCCAAAAGTTGGCTCTTGAGGGCCACTACAACATGGTGCTCAAAAGCACGAGCCTGCTCACGCCGTGGTTGATCAGACACTGCGGACGGCTGTACACCCGGTACCA